TCCCTACAAGTCCTTACGGTGAGACAGACCTGCTTTTAACCTTTAGGGCTGTGAGGATTAAAATGTCACAGTGCAGCAAATGAGATGTAAGCAAAGGATCAACTCCTCTAGAGTAATGCATCCTGTATTTTTTTTTGTGTTGAGATCTTCTGGATTTCATTTAAATTTCAGATAACCTGTTACCTGTGGATTTTTTATACATAAGGATAGAAATAATTGAATTAAAAATTGGGGAAGTTTGGCATGTTTAAAATATTGATCCAGTGTCCTTCCTCATAGTAGACTGTACCTTTTGAGACACTAAGTAGACTGAAGTGAAAATAATTTTTTCATGGCACTTAGAATTAATTTTCCATAAAGCTTTTAAGAAGCTGAACTTAGTTTCAGAGAAGATGAGGTGCTACTCTGAGATGAATAATACTTCATTGAATTGTAAGAGAAGAAAAACGTTGCCAAGAAGCTTGTCACTGTAAGGAGGTGAAGAAAATTGCAAGGCGAGCACATTATGTGTGCAACATAAAAATTTTAGGATCCTTAGACATTTTACACTGTGTTGTAAGTTTAGTATAAAGATCGCTAGTGAGGAATTTTTTAAATATTTAGGCAATAAGGTAAGTAACTAAACTAGTGTGCATTGCAGCATATATTAGGAGCAATGGAGATTATTTATTAGCTTAGCGATTGCAGGAATAACCCCTTGGTTAGAAATTCCCTGGACAACGATAGTAGGGACTCAAATGTAGCTCCTGTTCTGGCCTCTTGGCCAGAAATGACTAGGTCCTAAAGCATCTACAAAGAAATTAAGTATTTTTTTGACTTCGAAAGGAGAAGTTGGCAGTTTTGTTTTGTTTTCCTATCCTGGGAAACACTGAAAGCCAGAAAGACTTTCTTTTTTCCAGTTGTTTGTAGGTGATGTTACATGAGTTGAACACCTCTTTCATACAATATTAGTGTTTTCAGTAATTTTTACAGATGTATATAAACAATTTGTGCTTCTTTGGTAACACTGTAAAGGTAACTTTGTCTTACTGGGATAGCAGCTGACTTTTGCTGTGCATATCTGTCCTAACATACTTCTGTCAAATTTATCACAGCCTGGAGAATGTGCTTTTGTTGGTATCCTTTCTAAAATAGTAACAAGACCACATAACTTCTCACAATCAAGCAGTATTCATTACTGACATGCATTTTCTTTTCAGAGAAACTGAAAAAGTGGATCAGCATGCTGTTCCCCAAGTCAATCATGTGGACGCCTGTAAAGAGTATGTGAAGGCTGAGGTTGCAGATACAAAAGAAAGCTTTCAAAAATCAGCTGAAATGCTTGGATATGATAAGCATGAAGAGATAAGAAGAGAAAAAGAGGAGGAGGAGCGTTATATCCACAGAAAAGAAACTCTGGCAACTAAGAAGGGAAAGGCTAAGCATGCGTTAAGAGAAGCTGATTCATTATTTCCAGACTTAACGAATGCATCACGGCCCCAAGCAGCTCAGCCTCAGCCAGCTGAGAAGAATGGAACACTTCCTAGTTCATTAAGTATCAACGCTGGCCTAGTGGAGCAGAATGGTACCAGCTCATATAAAAGAGGGCTTGTTCCCAGAACGAATCCAGATAAACAGATGCAAAGAAAAAGTAACATGGCTCAAGTGGAGCACTGGGTAAAAGTCCAAAAAGGAGATACAAAAAGGTTAGTAATAGGGAAATGTTTAAATAGACTGCCAAGTGGCATTTCCTTAAATTAAAGGAAAGGGTTTAGTAGTAGTATATTTAGTGCAAATCAGAAGGAGATTTTACAGAGACAATGTGTAATGAAACTTACTTTCTTGTGTAATGCAGAGTGGTATTTTTCTGGTGCTTATCTCATGGGAAAGTCAATATGGGATTGGCTGATCAAATCCCTTTAATGTTATCACTAGTCTATAGTGTAAATAGAAAAAGTGAGACTAGAGTGCTTTTTCTAAAACTGATTTTAATGGTTGCAGATGTTAAAACTTCTTAAAATTTGCTACAATTAAAAAACTAGAAAGGGAAGTGCGGTTCTCAGTTACCTCTTATTCATAAACAACTACATGATATAAATTATAGATAATAATTTGTTTTCCACTTCAAAGTAAAGAATGGTGATTCATTCACTCCTCTCTATCAGATCACTCACAGTATGTGCGTCACGTTGAAATGTCTCCATATTTTCCTTTAGTTAAGAGATTCTAGGATGTTCCCACGGTCTCCAGGGTTCTCTTTTCCCTTTTCAGTCCCCACAGATTGCATAAAGTGTACCAAGAGCATGCGGTAATACTTTTATAATTTAAAAAATCTGGTAATTGCTTTACTTTACAAGTGTGCAGTCAGATTACCTACCAGTTGAAAAAACGAAGTGATGTAGATGTGCATCTGTTCAGAATGTCACCTTGTGTCAGGTGGCAGGAAGGACACTTGCTGCATGTGAGGATTTTTCAAATATGGGTAACCTACTGAATTATTACCTTATAAATTTGCTAAAATCTAATAATCATATAGAACAATGGGAGACATAAACGTGGTCCTTAGGAGAAAGAAAACATTTTGGGCATTTTTGTAATGTTTATGCAGATTAGCTTTTGTTATTTTGGATCCAATATAAAATGTAAGGCTTGCTAATTCTGTTTGGAAGTCCATTCTTCTCTTTCTTATCTCTTGAACTACCATTAAAGAAGCTTTCATACTTCTCAGTTTTGTTTAACTTTCTTCTAGGCTCTTAGAGCCAGTTTACTTGTGTCTTTTTTTGCTTGGTTGTGAACCAGTGCTTCCCAAGAGAATGTGACTTTAATGAAAAAAAGTACTTGGTATGTTAGTTCTTACATGTGTAGATGTTTTAGTCTAAAATACTATAGAAAACGATTGAACTAATTAGCCAAGGCTTAAGACAATTTCTGTTGCTGTTTTTCACATTGAAAGTATAGGCAGTGAACAGTCTTGACTAGCTACATAACTACAGTTTTCTTCCTAATTACTCTTTCCAGCAAATCAACTGCAGGTGTGTATCCAGTGTAGTGTTAAGCTAAGTGCTGTTGCAGGTGCCAGCATTTTTTCTAGATAAAACCAGCTACCTGTGCGGGAACTGTTAAGTATTCAGTGAAACTTTGCAAGAGTTAATTGCAGTGATGTAACCAAAATCTAATTTAATATATAATTTATTTTTTTTTTACCTTAAGAACATTCTTTATGTTCTATTTTAGCTCACTTGACCTTGTTTTCTTTGTCTTTCCCTGGCAAATGCCATTATATTCTCAGTATGGAGAATAAATCACACGTTGCCTTCCTGAAGATTAATGGATTGATTTTTTTTTAAATGGCACCTTCTCTCGACTTGCTAAGATTGTTGCAGTGCAGTTAACTGATGGATAAAAGTTGTCAAAATGTCTTATTGATTTCAGGATGTAGAAATTTAAGGTAGAAATTATAATTTAATTGATATTTTGTTTTTAGTAAGTATGAGTGGACCATGTAATGCTCCATGTTTGTTGTTATTCCAATGTTACAAATAAAGAACCTCTGAGGATTTAGAAGCCTTTATAATTTTTGAACACAGAATGAGAACAGTTTTATTAATTTCCTGGTATATAAAGCTGCAATGCTTTTCATCAGGATTATTATGACAAGAAAGCTAGTCTTCACACAAATACATCTATATAATTATTTGCAGGGATTGAACCTTTTATATAGATACTTAGATCTTTCAAATAGATATTTTACTTTCCTTTTTTATGAAGGACACAGAACCATTTGCTAACTGGTAAATACTAGCTGTCACTTTGGAGATTCTTGTCTCTTGAGACAGTGAACTGTTAGCTGCACTACAGGTACATCCTATGTAGTCACCTAACCCCTCCTCTGTTCTCAGCAAAGGGGAATACCTGTTAGAGTAAGATTCATACCAGCCTTTGAGAAAGATCTAGAGAATTGGAAGGAGGCTTTCAGGAGATTTTGGTTTTAAGTAATTAAAGGACCATCAAAGAGCAGCTGTCCAGAAATTACTAGTCTTTGTTCCAGTTTCCATGCCTGGATAGTCAGAGTGAATGCATAATTGTAAAAAATCTGCTATTTCTAACAGCTTAGTTGTACTTAAAAAGTTAATCTGGTACGTATGTTTAATATTTCCCAACTAAATGCAGTCATGTTGAGGAATTCCTTGCAAATGCAGTGTTAAACATTTCTTGTTATGCAGAACTTTCCATTCCTTCCTGATTTGCTTAAGGAAGAAACAATATTGGTCTGGTAGTTTTTGAGCATTTCCATGAATGGGCATAGCATTCCAAATAATTCTATTTGTTTTCTTGTGGATGCTTCTCTTCTCTTTTTACAGTATCTTCTGTGTGGTTGCTTCCCATTGCAGACCTTGAATGATTTTCATAGCCAATAATCACATAATATGGTATCAGGCCATTTTTTCACTCTTCTGGGTCTGCTTTCCTTTTTATATTCTTTCTACATCATCATTCAAGACAAGGAGATTCTCAAGAATAGCTGCTTTTGCTCATATTTATTCTTAGTTCTTGAGAAGGCAGTTTCCACAGTCTGTTGTGGACTAATTTGAGTAATCTGGGACATTGTTCCTCCCCTGGGACAGAAATTGATATGTCATCTTAGTACCTATTTTTATATCATGCAAATTATTTTTAAGGGTCTGGAACCTTATGTGGTAGAGATGCCACCTGCTTTAGAGCCCGTCTTCTTAGCTGGTAGTTTCTCCCTACCTCGTATACTGAGGAGCTGCAGCCTGCCTGTATGGAGGCAGCTGCCCCTAAGTTGAGCTTTGAACATGACTTGCTTTGTGCAATGTAATGCCTGTGCAGCTTCCTTCTTTTTTTGTAGCAGACTGATGTATTGCATGAAGCCAGTACTTCCCATCTGCTCACAAACTGCTTTCATCCAGTTTTTAGTTCCTCTCAAGCAAATGCATCCTTTTCTATAAGAAAATTGTGGTTTATTTCCTCCTGCCCCCAAATTCATAGGGCCTTTGTTTTCAGACTTCTTTTGCTACTAAAGATACTAGCTTTTGACTACCAGTAGTTCCTCCTGATTTCAATACTTTACCCTTTCATGCCCAATTAGAAAATAACCATATATGGCATTTTGTGACATAGAGTAGTTTGCCTGTGCCTTCATGAGGGTTCCACTAGGCTGAAGTATAGGAATTAAGCCCTCTTCCTCTTTTTTCTACATAGAAATCACAAAAAGGATCTGTCCTAGCTTCATTCCTTTCTCAGCTGTTCATTCAAAGCATTACACGCTGGAAGTATTCTCAGTTCTTGTTCCTCTCTAGGGAAAACACATTTCTACCAACTGCTTTGATTTTCAAGTGAAAAGAATTGGCAGTACAATACAGAACGTACAGATTGGTGTAATGAGTTAAATAACAGAGATTAGTTGACTACTAAATGCTGATCTTTGAGCCACCTTGGTTCATGCTACCTGCCTGCTTTAGCCTTTGCTGTGAAATTTGAGGTAGCATCAAGGTTCTGTGGCATGGGAGAGCAGAGCTTTTATGAATTTGTGATCCTCCATGTGGCACAGGGCAGTTTTTCTGCTTTCTGACATGAAGAATCCATCCATGTTTCAAGACAGCCCAAGAGTGCCAAATCCTACAAGTAGAAATAGGTGGAAGCAACTACTGAGCAGCAGTTACTGGTGGCAATTCTTTATCTCCTGCTTCTGTTATTTTTGGATGAAGAGCAAAGATGTTCTTTTCCTTACTGCTCTTTCTTTCATGTGGAATTCCTGCAGTTCCCACAACATCAGCTCTCCCTCTCATGCAGAGAGTGGAACCTACCAAATGGAGTGATGAACCTGCTCCAAGTTTCTTAATTTGTGGGTTTTTTTTTTTTTGTTTCTTATCTATTTATTATGTTGTTGCTCTGTAGCAAGTCTAGCAGAATGGCTTTCTGTTTGGATATCCTGAATTGATGGATGAGTGACTGCAAGTACAAAACCTCCAGATGTTTAACTGGAGAATCAGAAATTAGGCAGGTTCTTATGTATGAGGCTGTGGAAAGATTTTTACTTCAAAGTAGACGAGGGAGCCTACTGCACTTTGTCAAAGCTTTTGCCAATTCTGCCTTAACACTTTATCTACTAAAATAATTAATTTCTACAGCTTAACTGCACTGTGGATGCAGTACTGAAGCCAGGATGTAATGCCTCCTTTTATCCTGGTTTATCAATGGGTTTTCTTGCAAAAAGCCTGGTGTTGCTTAAAGCAGTAGAAACAGTATCATCAGGTCAGGTGAAAGTAAATGATGCAGACTAGGGCATTTTGAGCACTTTCTCACCTTTTTGGTTTTTTGCTTCATTCACATGAATAAAAATTATCTGAGATGCTCATTCTGTGATTGGTGAGCTTTCATCTTACACTGTAGGTATTTCTTTTAAGTGAGAATGCATTGTTGTTCGTAAACTGCACCACCTAGTGGTGACCAGGCTTTCAGTGAAAAATATTGAATTTATGGATTTGCTCTTTTAAATATAACAGTAATTACTTTCTTATGGTTCTTGACATTCTTTTTGGTCCAAGTACAAGCTTAGGTAATACTGTTGTCCCTTAGGGTTCTTTTTGATGGGTCTTCCTACTTTAGACACTAAACCAGAACATGTATCTATACTGTATGCATCTTTGCATGAATACAGTGCAATATTTTTGTGCTGGGTAAATTTAATTAGTATTCATTTGTTGATATTTCTGTAAATCTTTAAAAATAACTTTTATGTTGTGTCTCGTAGCTCCTGTGCAAATACCATTAGAGATTTATTTTTCATCAGGTACTTCTGCTCATCCATGTACACTAAAGTTTTCCTTTTCCCTCCTTCTTTACAGCCTCACTTCTGATCAGACTCTTACACGTCAGGGTCCCAATCCACCTTTTCCTGAAAACTATCACACTTTGCCAAAGAATACCAGGCAGCCTTCAGGGAGCTCACCACCACCAAACCGCAATTTGCCGAGTGACTACAAATATGCACAAGATCGTGTTAGCCACTTGAAGATGTCCCAGGAGGAAAGGAAAGCAAATAAGGATGGAACTGTTTGGCAGCTATATGAGTGGCAGCAGAGGCAGCAATTTAAACATGGCAGCCCCACTGCCCCACTTTATGTAAGTTCTTCAGACTTTATTGATCGTGGAAAGTCAAAAAGTTCGTTAGATGTTCCACGATCGATATCTGTTCCACCCTCTCCATCTGATATTCCTCCACCTGGACCTCCAAAAAGCTTTCTCCCAAGGAGACCACATACTCCTGCAGAAAGGCTAACAGTTAAACCATCTGATGAGAGACAGACTGTAGACGTTCCTTTCACTGGATCACCCAGGAAGATCCGAAATCATGCTGTAAAGGTTTGTATACAGTATAACTGATTTAAAGCTATTCTGCATGTGGTGTCATACACTGGTCATTTAATTTGGTCATTTTTCATTGCATCCTTCCTTGTATAAGAAAGATCGTACAAGCTGTAAAAGTTAATGCAGTGAATAATTTTCTCTTTATGTTTCTGATAATTTCAGATTAATTAATTTTTGTTGGTTAGGAGAGGAAGTTTGGTGGTACATCACATTCGTTTGGAATATTTTTATTAAAAAACTGGAAGGCATGTCTTTACTTGAACACTGTGTTCAGTTTTGGGCCCCCCACTACAAGGTGCTGGAGGGAGTCCAGAAGAGGGTGATGAAGCTGGTGAAGGATCTAGAGCACAAGCCTTATGAGGAGCAGATGTGGGAACAGGGGTTTAATCTGGAGGAAAGGAGGCTGAGGGGGGAGACCTTATCACTCTTTACAACTACCTGAAAGGAGGTTGGAGCAAGGTGAGGGTTGATCTCTTCTCCCAAGTAACAAGTGGTAAGTCAAGAGGAAATGGTCGCAAGTTGTGGCAGGGGAGGTTTAGATTAGATATTAGAAGAAACCTCTTCACTTAAAGGGTCATAAAACACTGGAAAAGGCTGCCCAGTGGTTGAATTGCCATCTCTGGAGGTGTTTAAAAGGCATATAAATGTGGCGCTTAGGAACATGGTTTAAGCACTGGGCTTGGTAGAGTTAGGTTATGGTTGGACACAGTGATCTTAAAGGTATTTTTCAACTAGAATGATTCTCTGATTCTCTATATAAAATATACAAATTATAGTGTTTTAGTGTATAGAGTGGAGAGGCAAGATTATAAAATTCAGCAGGATTGGTTGTAGTCTTCAGTGTTTGCCGTGTCTACTTTATCTTCATGTTTTGCTATTGTAATTAGTCCTACAGCTGACTCAGTTTTTAGTTGTGGCTAAAAACACAAACATTTTACATGCATTTGGTAATTTAAGCCCTTTGCAGAGTCCTTATCATTGGAATAACCAAAATCAAATAGTGTTGGTCTGAAACTTTAACCTTCTGCAGAATTTCAGTGTGATTATTTTGTAGTCAGTGTTGTACCCTCTTATTCAGAGGTGACACAGGTTTCCCTAGTCTGTATTCAATGTGGCTCTTCTTGCCTAAGGAAATTTGGAAAATTCAGGATTGAATCAATGCAGAATTTACTTGTCTTGGTAGCTCCTACACTGCAATAAGTGGAAATCAAAGCCTCTGTATTCACCTGATTCTTTGACCTCAACTATGGGCTCTGATGGGGAAAGTATTTCCAAAGAAAGAGACTTGTAAATTCAGATACCAAACATGGGTTTAGGACCATGACTTCGTGTTGCATTCCAGTTTCATGGACAGTTTAAATTTTTTTCCTACTGTATATACATGTAGCTATTAGACGTCCTTCCCCATTTATAGATTTATAATGTTCTGTTAGTGGATGAAATAGTCTAGTGATGTGCAGCACGGGAAGTTATTAGTTTTTTAACTCCTGATTATATTCTACTAGACATTGGTTTCTCCATGTGTAAGTTGAATGGGTATTTCATCCCTTACGAAGGAATGGGCAGAAGTCTTTTCCCTTCCTGTGCAATGTAGCTGGATAAATTTTGCTCAAAAATCTCTTTTAATGTCATAATTGTTTTACCAATATAAGCTAATATAATTTTCTTCACCTATAAAACTTTGATGTGAAACTTCTGTTAAAGTTTCTAGAGAAAAACATTCATGTTTTTATACGTAAGCACACAGCAACATTTTAGATATAAATGATGTCTACAGAAATCTGTAATACTCCCCTCTCCCTGGAACACTTTATGAAATTCCATCCAGTTATACTTAAAAAGAAAAGAAAGCAAAAAAACCCCAGCATCCAGTGAAATTCAGAGACAGGAATAAAAACAAATAATGAGCCATTTAGCCTGCCTTGAAGAAACCATCAAAGGTTGGCATTAAGAGAGATGAAAGCATGGATGTGCCACAGGTTTTCATACTGTAAGCAGAAAGGGGCACATCAAATACGATTGTTTAATAAAACCTGGTATTAATGGAACCCATTGCCACAAGGTGTCACTCATGTCAGTAGCTTAGGGTTCCCTGGCTAAAAGAGGGCATTCACTGTTAGCAGTGAATTACTGTTAGTGTTACTGTGAGCAGTACAAGCCTGCTATTGGGGAGCATAAGCCTGATCTCTCTCTGGGAGAGGTCAGGTGGAAGGGAACTTTATGGATATTTTTTATTTGCTGGAAGCCACTTCGTCTGTTCTGCTGAAGCCCCTTGTGCTCTCAGAATCCACTGATCTGCCCAGCATCACAAATGCTAAATTTGCTTTTGTAATCATCAAAGAATCTGGCTGGCTCATGAATGTTACCCTAATCTAAGCGTGCTGTGAATTCAAACAACAAATTTGTGGCAGAGGTGTGTATTTTCTGAATTCTCCCTGAAGTACAACATACCTCTCACTTGAGACAATCCTTACAAACCTGGCTGTGGCTTCTTACAGAGCTCAACTCACATTGATCGACGCTCTATGCCTGCCATGGGCTACATGACACATACTGTGAGCGCACCCAGTTTGCATGGCAAGTCGGTAAGTTCAGACAGAGTTACTTGTTATTTTGTGTCATCACGGTATTGTAGTTAAGTTTTAAAATCCTGCTGATACCAGAGTAGTTGTATTTTTATTAGTTAAAACATAAATAACTTGAATGAGAACTTAATCCTAACCAGCTCCCAGTAAAGCCTCTAGGAATTTTGCTCTTAGCTGCAATGTGAACAAGGATGAGCTGCCTGTTATTAAGGATTCAACTTTTATTATGTTTATTTGACCAAATGCAGAGTTAATTAAATAATTGCTTAATCATGTCAAGTAACTGCTTTCTGGGCACTGAGGTGAAAAATGTAATTACAGTTACTCTCCCTGAAGACTGCTAATTTCCTCTTTACAATGTGTCTAAATACCTGCAGCCTGAAGAGCTAACATTGCTTCTCATTCGATTAAGGAGACATCAGGCTAAGTTGGCTAGTATACGAAATTACACAATCGCACAATTGCTGCAGCACTTGCCAACTAATTCCACCTATCAGGTCAGCTGCTGCTTGGCTCATCTGTGCCGTATGACATTTTGTGACTCTGCAAATGCTTCGTTAGTGGCATGCTTGAGTCTGTGCTTTCTTGCCCATTTGGTATTCCACAGTTCCCAGGTTATTTGCAGTTTTTCTTTGCTATTGTATTTGTGATAAAAGGTGAGCTTTTTAAGTTATAGGGTACCAGTTACATATGTTTCAAAGTGTTATGCATACTTCCTGTTTATACTATTTCTGAAAATGCTGCATCTTCAGAAATGTGGGTTAAAATATCAGATATGTTTGTTCTAAAGCAAAACCATTTCTTTGTGCTGCTTTCTTTCGTGATGGGGTTGGCTCCCTGTGCCACATGCTGCATCACCTGCAAATTGAAATGCATCAGCCAGTTTGTACATCCATATGAGCTTGTAACTGTGTCAGTTCTGCAGGTGAATGTTGGTTCATACAAGCTCATGGGCATCTTGGATCATCAACAGTGCTCTTGGTTGCACTGAGGTATGAAACTTGTAGATGTGAGATCAAACAGGAATGTACTTACGGAGCTCCTTGGTTCATATCAGTGCCTCAGAAGTGGAGCTGTCTGGGAGTAAAATGTGGTGACTCTTTTAGAAATTGGTGAATTGCTTTGTATTGGTCCAAAGCTAAAGGAACTCTTGGAGTTTGGAAAAGCTGATTTCCTGATTCACCTCACCTACAGAACTATTGCGCTAAGATGGGTGATAGTAACAGGGATTTTTCAAAAAAAGGGCAGACTTTCCAGTCAAGTCCTCAGCCAGACTTACAAGCTAATCAGACAAGACTTGTAAGTGAATACTTCTAAAGAAATGCGAGAGTAATATATTGATTTTATGGCATAAAGGATTTTTCTTTTCTTTTTGAACTACACATTCTCATTGGCTCAAAACTTGAGAAAAGGTATAGTTGTGTTTTTTCTTTTATTCTGAAGTTTAATGTACCCAAGATACAGAATCCTGTCAAAATAGCAGTAAAAATTCTAGGAAATTTGAGGCATTTTTCCTGATTGCAAAGCACATTTGCAACAGTTAAGCTTTATTTTGTTGCGTGTTACAAATGCCTGTTTTGAAGAAAGAAGAAATAACTGTTACGACTTCTGTGCATGCTTTTCTTGAAGCATCTGTAATGAAGATGCTGCTAGATGAATGTCACTATAAGATTAAGCTTATAGCGATTACAGGTGAGCCAATGAAAAATAAGGAACAAGTAGATTGGTGTTGCTTTGAAGACATAATGGATTTTCTAATAATATGAGATCTTTTTCAGTATTTTATTCACAAAACTTCTTTCAGACTTTTCCTGAATAAAGGAATATCTTAAAATGGTATGGAGTGTGATTAAGGGTATTCTAATGATTTTTTATAAAATGGCTTCCAGTTACATCTGACATTCAGTTAGGTACAAGTCTTCTCTTCTTCTCTCAAAGGGACATATTATGCTGGAGGACAACACGGTAACATTTTCAGTGAAGGGGATAGTCAATAGAAATTGGTATTTAAAAAATATCTTTTGAAAGCCTATTATTTCATGTAGTTACATAGCTCATTAGAGGTGGAAAACTCAAATCTGTATGTTTGAAGGGTGGGCATGAAGCAGTAATATTTTTGGGAATTATTTTGCCCACTTTTCATTTGTAAAGAGCAGTATGCTGGTGGAGCAAATGTGCTTTTTAATGTACTTCCTACTCTGCTATTTTATTTTCTCTTTCATCCATTTTCTTATATGTAACCAATCCAGGTATTTTGAAATGGTTTCAAACTTTCAAATACATTGCTTTTTTTTCCCCTATGTACTTACCTGAAGGCGGATGACACTTATATCCAGTTGAAAAAGGATTTGGAGTATTTGGATCTAAAGGTAAGATTTTATAGGAGTCTACTTCCGTTATTATAATTTTAACCCAGCGGTCTTTTGTATATCTTCGTATCTGCAGGTTTTCAAATTATCTTCTGCTCAGAGATGGAAGCTGTGTCTTTCACCATCACTGTTGTGCTTAGAATATTCAGTGTCTTTATAGTAGTAACTATACAATTAAAGTGCAAACTCAGAAAATATAGTTTCTTTGGTTTATAGGAAGGACATGTGTTACTGGTATTCCAGATGAATGGTATTATGTGGGTTTAATGAAATCAGGTAAAAAACTGATTAAAAATGTTTGTCTGTAGTAGCATTTGAACCAGTATTAAGTCAACTCCTCTAGGTAAAAATAAAGTGTGTTTTAATCCAGCTTTTTCCCTTTAAATCTTCTTGAGCTGACTTTTCTCTTGGTTTTATAATATGCTTTATTTATAATGCTTTACTTTCTTGTGCAAATGTGATGGTTAATTAGCACCTGTCATTGTTTTCATACTAATACAGTTAAGAGATCTCAAATGCACCCATTCATCCGTCCATCAGCTGCCCAAATAGTGTTGCCTGATATTTCCTTTAAAAAAAATAATAATTAAAAATATGATATTGAGCATCAAAGCATCTATCTAAACTAAAGTACTTCTCTATCTGGTACACCTGATAATTGGCAATTTGAAAGCAAATCTAGGCTTATTAATATCAGGTTTTGAAGAAATAAAAAGCGTATGATCATTTTGCTTAGCAAAGCAGTTTGCCACTTTCTGTGATGTGTGTGATATATCACCAGATATAAACTATACGGTGTTTCTGAAAATCAAGGTGGAGTGAAATCTAACACCTTGTTACCCTCATCGTATGCATGTCTGTAGTTCGCACTGGTGCCATGGGGTGCCTGTGGGCAACTGATGAGCTGACTGCACCCATTAGTGTGTGTATTTCAATTTTGTTTGATGTTTTAATGGCTGAATAGATAACAAAATATATCAACGGAAAATATTACTAGTACATATTGCACACGTGTAGTGTCACATACATAGATAGAATATTTATCACATAATATATGGGGCATTTATGCTCTAAATGATCAAATATGTAAACCATTGTAATCAATAATATACAAATTTAAAATTCTTTGGAAGTGTTTCACTTCAGGCCTTGTTATTGGTTTGTTCATGGCTTTGTCAAATGTAACTTCATCCCAAGTCATCAGTTGAATTTTGTGACAAATGTCAATTTAAAAGGTCCTGCAATTTGAGAAAATTTAAATAAAACAGTGTTTTGTCCATTATAAACCACCAATTTTCACAGTTAGAGTTGGCCACAGTTTAAGCCTCTGAAAATGTTACACGGTTAGTCAAATTGTTAGGATGAGCTTTTAACTTTTTAGTGGATTCTATCTGGATTGCTTTGTTGCAGCTGTGTTGTCTCCCAGGAGCTCCCCTTGTGCCTTCCTGCAGCCTGTGTAGCACCTGATAAAAGCAGCCAGAAACAGGATTGTATGGGGACTCCTGATCTTTCTGTGAAAATAAACTTAATCATAGAATAATTTGAGTTGGAAGGGGCCTTTAACAGTCATCAGAGCCCATCCAACCTGAACTTGAATTTTTCTAGGTATGGGGCTTCTACCACCTCTCTGGGCAACCTATGCCAGTGTTTCACCACCCTCATCATAAAACATTTCTTCCTTATCTCTAGTCTCTTTCGATTTAAAACCACTGTCTGTCATCCTTTCACTACAGGGCCCACTAAAAGGTTTGTCCCCATCTTTCTTTTAAACTCCTGTTAAGTATTTTAAGGCCACTATTAAGGTCTCTCCAGAGCCTTCTCTTCTTCAGGCTGAACAACCCCAACTCTCTCTAGCTGTCCTCATAGGAAAGTTGTTCCAACCCTCTGATCACTTTTGTGGCCCTCCTCTGGACCTGCTCCAACAGGTCCGTGTTTTTCTTGTGCTGAGAAGTCCTGAGCTGGATGCAGTACTCCAAGTGGGGTCTCTCCAGAATGGAGTAGAGAAGCAGAATCAACTTCCTCGACCTGCTGGCCATGCTTCTTTAGGTGCAGCTCTGGGTACAGTTGGCTTTCTGGGCTGAGTGCACAGTTTGTTCACATCCAGGTTTTCATCCTCCAACAGCCCCAAGTCCTTCTCTGTAGGGCTGCTCCTTTCATCCCCCAGCATTAGCATTTCTGTAATGGTTAGTTCCCTTTCCAAAACTGTAGCAGTCTTACTGCCAAATGTGTTTCCATGAGAATGGTCTGATTTTTCTAACCTAATATTTCTTGGTAACATACTTTCAGTAGTGGTCTGGAGATGTGAAAATTCAAGTCAGGTTGCTGGGAGATTAAAGAGACTATGTGAAACCTGAGAAGGTGTCTTTGTGTTGGTTTAATTTGTGTTTTGCCATTAAATACAAATTACTAAAGCGGTGCCTTGAGTATGAGGAAAGAAGAGTAGCATGCTGGGTGAAACTAAGGAAATTATTGATTTGGTAATGGTGGAATATGGTAAATTCAGTTCTTATTAAGATATGTGGTACCTTTCATTTAAGATACTGAAGGCTTAGATAAAAAGTGTTTTAATTAGAGTCACTCTTTTGACTTTATTGGGCCTTGTATTAGACCCATACTGATTAAACAATTTTAAATAGGACTGAAGATTTTAGACCTGGAGTTAAACGTGGTTTTTTTTTCTCTAAATCCATCCTTTCTGAAGATCTCTCTTCCTAGAGGTTTTGAAATGTAACTTTTCAACATGGAATAATGATTAAGCAATTCACAGTGTAACACATGCCACAGTACTGAAAATTATTACAGTAACTGCTGACACAGCATTTCATAATTTGTCCTTACGTGTTTTGTCCCTCTTGCTCTTACTATTTTATATTAACCTTATTTTTATTAATTAAAAGTTTAAAAATATGATCTAAGAAATATTTTTGTGTTTATATGAAGATGATGTTGTTCAACATTATAGTGTATTGTTATAGCATACATATGAATAAAATAGAAATACTCTAGATATTAACCCATTTCCATAGTTTTCTTCTGCATGCAAGCTAGTTCTGACATTAAAAAAAGTCTAAAAGCTGTTAACTCATACTATGATAATTAATGGTAATTCATGAAGTTCAACAAGGCCAAGTGCAAGGTCCTGAACCTGGGTCGGTGCAACCCTAGGCACAAATACAGGCTGGGGGGAGAATGGCTGGAGAGCAGTCCTGAGGAGAAGGACTTGGGGGTGGTAGTTGATGAGAAGCTCAATATGAGCCAACAGTGTGCACTGGAGCCCAGAGAGTCAACTGCATCCTAGGCTGCATCAAAAGAAGTGTGGCCAGCAAGGCCAGGGAGGTGATTCTGCCCCTCTACTCTGCCCTGGTGAGACCACACCTGGAGTGCTGTGTACAGCTCTGGAGCCCTCAGCACAAGAAAGATATAGACCTGTTGGAGAGGGTCCAGAGAAGGGCCACCAAGATGATCAGGGGGCTGGAGCACCTCTGCTGTGAAGACAGGTTGAGAGAGTTAAGGCTGCTCAACCTAGAGAAGAGAAGGCTCCAGGGAGATCATATAGCACCTTCCAGTACTTGAAGAGGCCTACAGGAAAGCTGGGGAGGGGCTTTTCACCAGAGAAGATAGTGATAGGACAAGGTGTAATGGTTTTAAACTGAGAGAGGGGAGATTTAGGTTAGATATTCAGAAGAAATTCTTCACTATAAGGGTGGTGAGAAACTGGAATGGGTTGCCCAGGGAGGTTGTTGATGCCCCATCCCTGGAGGTTTTTAAGGCCGGGGTTGGACGAGGTTTTGTGAAACCTGGTGTAGTGGCAGGGTTCCCTGCTCATGGCAGAGGGTTTGGAACTAGATGATCTTTAATGTCCCTTCCAACCTTAATGATTCTCTGATTCTATGATTTTGAACTTGCCAAATACCATGCATTGTGGAGGTTTCCTTTAGCAATATTGCCTTTAGATCATGAACTCTATTATTCCTTGGAAATTAGTTGCAATGACTCTATTTTTTCAATTATGACCCAGAGCTATGTAGAGCATGAAAGAAATGGGGTAACTGTATGATATATCATAACCATACATTTTCCTCAAACAGATTTCCACAGTTTTTTTTTTAAACTCTAAAGTGGATAGAGCCTGTATTAGAAAACAAGAAAGGAAGAGCAGAGTAAATAAAAACTCTTGTTTTCCCCACAAGATTCTATGATTACTTTGTAAATAAGGGGAAATACAAGTGGTGAAGGAAGTTTCCCTTTTTGTGACTATGAAATCAAGTTTAAGCAGGCCACAGGAGAGATGGAGTGATACATAGTTTACAAACATGCCCGAGTGGGCTATACAAAATAGGGATGAGGAAGTGTAGGAAAGTTTGTGTCACTAACTTTAACTTTTGCAACCAGTTGAAGCCAAATCTGAGGCCCTCTCAGTAGTTCAGCAGTTGTCTTGCTTCATTCTTCTGCAGTCACGCTGTAGTATCTGAAGCTGTTTAGTTTCTACTGCAGTTAAGAGAGGTTGTTAGTGCAAGCTTGTGTCACATAGATAATGAAGGAAATAGTGCATAGCAGGTATTATGGGTTGAAGGCTAAGTGTCACCAAAATAACTCCTTTCACTGAGTTTTAGCTTGGTTGCTCAGATTATCAATATATTGCTCGTGGTGCAAGAGTTACTACATATTACATGACAGAAAATGTCTTGCTAGAATTTCCAGCACTCTGGAAACTGCAATTGGGCAAGCCTGAGCAAATCCTGTTTTGTGTTGTGTGTTTGTATGTGTGTTTTGCTAAAGTAGCTAAGTCTTATGGTTGGATGTGCAATGTACCCACAATATAACAAGAGAAGTAGATATCAAGTTGTAGGTGCTGTACTGGCAAATTATATAGACCATAAACCTCAAGGACTGGTATGACATAATGTGATTACTGCTGCTTATGGAGTTTTGAGTTGTAAGGTTTGGCGGTTTTAATTTTTACATCTATAACAAACTGTTACTAAACTTTTGTTTGAAACAGATAGAAAATAATGGACCTCTGATCAACATGATATACAAAGTGCTAAAGAACTCAGCACAAGGGTTACTATCCGGTATACATGTAAGACTGCTTGCATCAGAAGTGTGCTCATCCCATTGCTTTTAAAATAGCAGTCAATGTTTACATATTCTGGCTTTTACAGGTGTCTTATGGTAAACAGTAAAGTTTTCTGTAAGACTTCTTTTCTTTTCTTTCCCCCCTTTCACAGTCTGTATGCAAAAATTATGGCTGACCTCTGTGTATGGTTTCATTTTATCGTGTTTTGAAAATTATTGTGCCAAGTAGTGATTCCTCTGTGTAATTTTGAAAGTGTGAAAGCATGCAAAATCTTCATTATGTTCTCATGTTCACTGCTTGACAAGTAACAAATTCTTTACAGTTCTGATTCTGTAGTTAAAAATATCCCAAAAATCTGTAGGCTGTGTTTTTTGTGTTAATTCTTTTGATTTGAAAAAGGCTTTTGCTTTCTCTTTGTTTGCAGCTAATTAAATATGCAAAATTATTACTTTGACATGCTAGTATTTATACTTCTGTTTAACAGTTTGTTACTGTTATGCATAGGATTTAGCATTTAACTAATTCCATTAATATTTTTGAAAGAAAGGATTTTTTCTTACATAAACCACTTCATTGTTGACAAAGAAAATATCAAAAAATTGAAAGTTCTGAGAGGCAGTAAATGCTTTTGATTTTGGTGGTGGGGAAATAACATTTCACCCTATGAAAACACATGGTAAGTCTTTGAATGGAGTCTGTGAATTGGAGACAGTGAACATAAATGATAACCATACTCTTCTGTCTTAAACCTACCTTTTAATTTTAATATATTATGTGTATATGGGAAGCTTCATGTAACATGTTAAGTAAGAAACTGAGGTTTTGTCAAAGGTTTATCCACACTTACAGTAAAATGTATGTAGCTTCAAGAGTAGAGATTGCAAGTCAGAGTCAGTGTAAAAGCAAACTACTACTTGTAGTGCAAAAAAGACAACATTTTATGCTCTTACATTAAAACTTTTGCTCTTATATTGTTAAATACAATATGTAGATGACTTTTGCTTCATACACTCTTGCCTGGATACAAATAGAAAAATATTGTAGTTCTAAACATCAGTTGTTTCTTTGCAAGGTAGTATTTGCTTTATTGGATCTTTAAAAATGTTTTGAGCTAATAATATTAAGTCATTAGATTTTAAGGCTTTTAAAAACTATGTGGTTAATTATGGTAATATTATAATGTCATTCTCTGAATGTCATTTATTCACAGAAAGAGTCCCATATAGACAGTGGAAATAATAAAACTTTTCTACAAAAATAACCTTGCCTTTATTCTAAAGTGCTGTGAAGGTTGGAAATATAATATCATACAGCTTCTGTACTGATTGAAAAAACTTAGTTTTGTGAGAAGATTATCTTCTCACCAGAAACTGAATATGAATTGAGTGATTTATGGAATGAGAGATTTGTAATATTTTAAATATGTTGAAATAGATTAATTACATTTAATTCCATGATACCAGTTTTATAGCAGTCTGTTTCTAGTAAGATTCACCCGTATTATGGAAGAGACTACCCCTTGTAGAATGAAATATTTGTCAAAAAATTGTATTTTTAGTAATTAATTAATGCTGTTATCCTTGCAACTGTGCATTTAAAGGAACTACTTATGTCCTTTGACTTCAAGGCAAACTGTTAAAACTATTAGGTTTTGCAGGACCAGTATCCTGGTAACCATAAACAAGTGGGATTATGCTGTTTTGTACAGAATCTTGAGCTACTCTCAGAGCAATTAAATAGCTTAATATAACTAGTAATTCTTCCTGATAATTTTTTTTAAAAAACTAAAGTAATATTTGAAAAGACTTATATCCAAAAGTTTATTGAACTACGTTACTAATCATCAATATTTAACAAAACTTCTATTTGGTGATGCATAATTAGGTTTTACTTTGCAACAAATCTCTCAGATCTTTAAAACCTGCTCCTCTTAGGTGACGGGACGTGACACATTAAAAGAACGAAGCACAAAACCTGTCAAGATTGCTGAAAGTGATATTGATGTAAGTATCCAATACTACTTCAGAACCTCCTGCATTGTTTTGGCCATTTATCTCGTTCTGTTACGTGTTCACGTTATTATGCTTTTGGGCATAAAATACTGCTAGTGGAGACTTTGGTGCTTCATTTTAAAATCTAACATTACCTTCTCATTTTCAGGTCAAGCTAAGTGTTTTCTGTGAGCAGGACAGAATTCTGCAGGACTTGGAGGACAAAATAAGAGCCCTTAAGGAAAATAAAGTAAGTGGATTAGAAAAGGTTTTATAAAATAAAATAGCAACTTTCCTCTAATCATATAATATGGAATTGCAAACAAAAAAATCCAATTTCTGGATGCTGCTTGCATTGTAGCAGTTTTCTTTGGGCATGCATACAAATTTAAGAAAAAAAAATTGGTTTTTATGTTAGGATTGAGTACCCACTTTAAGCAGACACGGTTTTAGAAATGAATGTTTCAAACTCACATCTTTTTGGTTTTTTGACATTTTTTACAAATTGGGGTATGCTCACTTCTCTATATAGTTTTGCTTTATGTCATAACATACATGTGTGTGGCAGTCATGTTTTGTTCGCAGTTCTTCCTACCTATACAAACATTGTTTGCATAAACAGCAGTGTGCTACCACTGTGACTGTGTGCTGGTTTGTTGGTTTGTTGTTTTTTTTTCTTTTTACATAGAAAAAAGAAAGGAGATGCAAATTTGTAGTAATTTCAGAAACCCATGCCAGTTTTTGTATAGTACCATGAACTTAGTCCTGAGAGTGATGACTGAAATGCTGTAATATCTTAAGAGTTGGAACTCAAGTGTCCATTCAAGTCAGAGTTTGAATAGTAAAGAGTAGCAAAATGTTTTGTCTTTCCTTGCCTGAATGATTCTTTACCTGCTTTACTGCCTGTGTGCGATAGCTGTCAATAAATTGAGGTAGTTCAGAAAAAAAACTTATGAAGTGAAAGTGCTGTCCAGATGGGTCCTTCCGAAGAGCTGCTGTGCAAAAATGATTCAGTGTTGTTTACTTGCGACGGAATGAATCGGGCCCATTTAGCATTTCAGGCAATATTTTAATCCCTCAAGTGGCTAATTTCACTATAGCAGTGAGAACCTAGCCTTAAATAAACAGCTAATACTGTCACAGTTCTGTACTGCTGCAGGAAATTTTTCTGAAACTTTAAATTACAGTGTTGTACAGACTGTAAATAGAATAATTATCCTCTCACTGCTTTGTGCTTTCTGTAGTTTTGGGTATTTAATGGAAACTATCAGATAATTTTGGCTATAATACTTAATAAAGACACTTGCACTTTCTCATTTATATATTAGTCTCCACAATCCTAACCTCTGGTGGCTTGTATGAAAGACTGAGGCTATGGAAAACAACTTTTATTTTCTCACAGGTTCATGTTAACATTGTAAGCTTACCATCATCTTCTTTGTTAGGATCAGCTGGAGTCTGTTTTGGAGGTTTTACACAGGCAGATGGAACAGTACAAAGACCAACCACAACATGCAGAAAAGATTTCTTACCAGCAGAGACTTCTGCAAGAGGATCTCATACGTATTAGGGCTGAAATATCCAAAGTGTCAACGGTACGTGTGTGTTGTTCTTTCATGAAAGCCATAATGAAAATACCGGTTGGAGTAAAACCATATTGTTCATTGTTAAGGAGTTAAGTCCTGTTCTGAACTTACTTGGCTAAGGTACAGGATACTAAACCAGAAAAAAACCCAACAAAACAATCTCTCCAGTTTTCCTTTGCAGCGCGCCCGATCCTCCTTCCCTGCCCCTCCACCCCCCACACCCCCAAGAAAGCTCAAAGCCCTTTTTTATACATTTTTCATTTATGCATGGGGCTTAAATCGCAAATCTTCCAGCTAGTCCTTTGAAAATATAAATGTGATTCCATGGTATTTTTCCAGGGGAAGAGGAACTGAGGAAGTTTGATATTTTGGTCAACATTTACTGTAGATGTTATAATTTAATGAAATTAAAATACAATCTAAAGTTGGATTTTTATTAATTGAAATATTTCTAAGAATTGACTATGAAGTAGAGTATATTAAACCTGGATGTTGTGTATTTATTGTGTTAATCCTACGTCTTAATAAATATGGGACCAGCTGTTCATAAGTTTGTTTCTGGAATTGCATGAACACCTTTTCTGTAGTAAGAACTGGTCATTAAAATGCCAGTATGATTTCAATATATATATATGCAGTGTTTTGTGCCTTTAGAAAACTTATGACTTTCACAGTCAGTATTTAAAATTTAATCAGGGTCATAATTATCAAGTAACTGTAAGAATGACTGTACTGGTCCAGTCCAAGATTCCTTATAGCCAAGGGTTCTGCCTTTAGCAGTGGGCATAACCAGATGCTTAGGGAAGAGTAAGGGTAGGAGAGGTGGATAGTATTTCCTGTCATAACCAATCCAGCTGCTACCTATATTCCACTCAGAGAATTCCTGGGGCTGTTTTTTTTAAAGAAAAAAATTCTATTTAATAATCCTCAATAGATCTAATTTTTGAGCCAGACTTGTACGTGTTTTGTGTGATAGATCTGTGTTCTTGTATGAGAAAGGATGGGTTACGATCAGTTGTTATCCACTCCTTCCATGCCATTCCTGGTTTAGTAGATCTCCATGATTTTTTCACCTCAATTCCCAAGTGATCTCTTTTCTGGGCCTTTAGAATTTTTTACCTAGGAATTCTTGTTTTCATCCTGCAAGCTATAAAGCAGTTTGAAGCTTATCAATCCTAAGCAAAAATGTAGGCTACAAAATGTTTGTTTGTTTGCTTTCATTTGTTTCTGTTTACAATATAACACCAACTTAAAAACATTTTGGTGCTTTATTATAGAATGGGTAGAGTGATTCTGAAATTTCTTATAATGTATTAGAATGTCCTGTCTTTTTGTAGGAAATGGAAAATGCCTGGAATGAGTATTTGAAATTAGAAAAGGATGTGAGCCAGTTGAAAAAAGCCTTACAGGAACAGATGAATAGTTCATTGGTATCTCAGGTGAGTCCATTTCCAGACTCTGGTTTACTTATGAGGCGATAGCTTTCAAGTTCAGACAAAATCATATCATACTTATGAGATTATTTTACTTTGCTATTTCCTACCCTCTCCTAAGAAAAATTCTCCGCAGTTGTTGCACAGTTGCCACTTAATTTGCAAACTTCAGACATTGCAACAGAATAGCTGTGCAGCAACTAGCTGTCTTGCTGCCTGTGTAATAGTTACTCCTAAGTTGTGTATGCAAATTTGTTATTGTTTTATTATGTTTTTAAGACATGCTGACATCTTGACATTGATAAAGTATTTAATTTATAAGACTATGCAGGACTACTTTAGTCTTCTGTTTATTTGATCTGACATCAGTGGCGTCTTTATCCATTTTTAAGGACATTAGTGTCTAGCTTGTTATTGTCATTACTTGGTCTTTGTCATGTTCCTCTATTTATGGAAGATTTATCTCTGCAGATTGTTTTGTGAAGTGGAAAAAGTGTTTAATCGGTAATTGAAAGGCGTCTTGGTTTTAAATCAATTATTCAGTTTTGAATCTTACGAAAAAGCTTTGTTAGAAGCTAAGTTATTCTGTTTGCTGAACTGGATGTGACATGCCAGATTATTTCTACAAACCTGCTTACAGCTGGTGATTTTATTCTTAGAGCAAGTGATACAGTTTAGATTTTTTCCTGTATTTAGGCAGAACAGTTTAAAATAAACAACAAAACAAGGAAGAAAGATATTTGTATGCATTTTGCTCAAATCTTAACCTACTTTTCGAAATATCCTGGACCAAAAGAGCTCACTAGATAAATGTTCAAATGTATTTATTTGCAACAAGTATCTGATCAGGTGTGAACTGAAGTCTATTTATTTTCACTATTAAAAGATAAATGTTTTGTATGAAAGCAAGAATTGTTAAACCTCTTTAGATTGCATCAATATTCAAAATCTATTACCATTTACTTTGGGGAGTGGAGAAATGGTTCAGCTTCTAGAGCCAAAATATTTTGTAGTTGAGCTCCCCTGTAGAATACATCCTTCAAAAAATCCCAGGGATATCTTGGAATAAAATTGTCCCTGTATGAAGTTTATTTTTTTAACAAAGTCAAATTGCAGATTTAAACATATTGTTAAAGTACTTTAACAAACTGTTCCCAGTTGTGCATTGGACACGCTTAAAATACTGGATGTGTGGCATGGGATTTAATACTTATAGAAGGAAATGTGGTTTGCACAGAAAAGAATGCTAACTCAGTTTTTTTTATCATCTCGTGTCACATACATGCATAATTATAGAAAAATACACAAGCCCGCAAACACACGCACGTCGTGTTCTCTCTGTGTGTACTTATATCCATAGGTATGCATGATATGTTTGTCTTTGGCTTAGATTTTAAAAAAGTTTCTGAATACCTATTTTGGAGATACTAGGGGGAGCTGATCTTTTCAGAGGACTGAATGTTCCTAAAACTGTATGCTTCAAAAAAGTGTCACTTGAAGTACTCTTAATAGTTTTTTGATCTTTGCCCAAGGTTATGTAGACTCAAGAGTTTATAGCACTAAATCAATACACACTGTATTAAAAAAAACTGCCGTCTTCATGGAATTTATTGAAAATTAAATAAATTTGCAGGATCAAGGTGCTTTAAGAAACAGCTAATGTTGTTTCTGTTAATTAAGAGCTTAAAACCTAAATGTTTCAAGCAACTTGGGCAGATTAAATCTTGCTTTTAGGAGTGTAGCTTCATTGTGTTTTGCTTAAGGACTGGGGGGGTCTAGGCATGCTGCAATTAACTGAGATGTGTTATTTTGTCAGTGATAATTTTTAGTTGGTGTTTCTCCTCTGGTTTTATACATAATTCTAAATTATGTTTCTGTGTGAGGGAAGCTACAGAAATTTATTTAATTCTCCAAGTTACTTTCTCGTGCTTGCCCTCAAGGTATATTTATACTCTTTTGTGAACAGCAATCTTGCTTTTCGTAATTTAAAAATAAATTAATCTGTATATCTTTTAGTTCTAGTCCATTTTTTATCTAAAATATTTTCTTCCCATCAATATTTAAGTAATGGGAAGAAATAATATTGAAAGATCTTCTGGCTTTTGTTCATTACTGATTGAATAGTTTCTGAGTGGTTTCTGAAGCAGGATTTTTTGTACGTGTGGGATTTTTTAACCAGTTCTGAGGCTTGATCATTGTAAATCCATAATTAGTTTCCTTGTAGTATGATTAATCTCAGAAAAAAATGAAATGAAAGATGCAAATTTATAGTTTTTATCCTGACAATTTTTCAAGATACGTCCCATCTATCGAGTGAGTTTGCTACAGGCAAATAACGTTCTCCATCATTTAAATGTTTGTGTTCCTGGCACCATGTTTGCTGATCTGTAACCTGGCTGAACATATTTTCTGATCTAAGACAGAAAGTGGAAAGCAATTTGTATGCCTTCCTTAGCTCTATGAGGTGTAAGAGCCTTTACTAAAATTTTTCTCTTTCAGGCTTATAGGATTAATTAGCACTTATTTTGCAGTTCTTGACAAGTGATGGATTTATAGAGTTCTTGGGCATTTCAGAAGCAATTCTTAAATAAAGTGTTTCACTGCCTTCCGCTTTCTCTAATAGTATTGTTTTCCTCTTGGTTTTACTAATTTTATTCCTAATGACAATTTCTGAAGGCAGAATTACTAAGCTTTGATTAAGTAGATGAGAGTAGCTATTTAATATGGTTGCAACAAATATCTGACTGAAGTGTTGGCTTCAGTAGCCAAGGTCTCTGGCTGCAAGATGCAATCAAAGGCAGAGCCCAGACTGTGGACAAAGCTTCCCTTTCTTTCTTCCTGGAAGAACTCAGTTAATAGGATGCAAGATGAGACCAAATCCCACAGCAGCAGCCATGTATTGTTTCAATCTGTAATATATCATGTCCACAACCCAAATGTAAGCAGAAATTAAATATCAACCCTTCTGAGTTAGTTTTGGTTTTCTGTTACATCCATTAAAAGCCACTAGGAAGTTAATGGCAATACTCAGGGAGACTATACTAATTTTTTGCTATTTTAATATTGAACATTTCCCCTAAATGTAGTAAGATGAATTTTGCAAGGCTGTCTTAGCAGTCTTTATTGTGTTAGTATGGGATTTAAGAACGAGGTCCAAATGAACAGGTTCTGTAACCTCATTTTATGTAGAACATTAAACTAGGTTTTTGTAGCCTGAATAATACTGTAGAGAAAAATGTAGATGTGTCTTTTTCCCCCAGTCTTCTATAGGAAATCTTTCAAGACTTGGGAAATGCTCTAATAAATGTAATGGGCAAGATATGTTGGTTTGTGTTGGTGTTTGTTTAGGCTTGGGGATTTTTTTTTATTATTGTTTTAAATAAGTATTTAAGTAATTTCTGGACTCCTGGATTTTCATGTAAGTTCTGAAACATGCATTTGGTTTTCTTATCAAAAGTAGATATAATTTATTTTTCTTCTTTTTTACTACAAACTTCAGGAGAAAACACAAATACAAAAAGACTTGTGGAGAATTGAAGATGTTACAGCTGGCTTGAGTGCAAATAAAACAAACTACAAAACCATAGTAGACTCTATTAAGAATCCAGGTAAGTAGAATATAAAAAAAAATATACAAATCTAGCTGAATATTTGGATCTGTGCAAATAGACTAGAAGTTTGTTCTACTGCAGAGAATCCAGTTAGTTCTGCTATTTATTATGTCAGAAATCTCTAAGCACCTTAACATGGCATTTGTTTCGTTTAGGTGTCAAAAAGTCTTCTTTTGTTTTTGTTTTCTTATACTGATGGCACTAAAATGTGACAAGACATAAAAAGGAACAATAATGGGCTAAGCTCTGCAAGTTGCAGAAGTTTCTGTCATGTGCCAGGTGCATACCAGCATAGTAGCTATTCTGCATTCTGTCCAGGAACTTCTCTCTGTGTTCCCTGCTTTTTTGATGTTTTGGTTGGTTGGTTTTTTTTACCCCTTGGATGCTGCCCAACTGCCCTTGCTGCAGTTACCTTTCCCCTCCCCCGCTCCCCCCTTCAGGCAGGTGTTTGGTGGGCAGAGCAACAACAGCAGCTATGGAAAAGAGGAAGGGAAAGTGTGTGTGGTCTGCATTTCAATTGCTTTATTATGTATCAAAGAAAAGACCCTAAGGCACTGGGATAGCAAAACACCTCCTGTGAATTCACTTTATATTTGAAGTATCTGTGCTTACCTTTTAGATATAGAGATAAAATAGTTCTGAGATTCTTGAGGAATCTATGGCACAGGGCCAGATGCAGCCTATGAACTGATTTCATGTGACTCTTGGGCTTTTTCTTCCTTCCCTCCCACTGCCCTCTGCAAGGAATTTTACTGGATGATACTAAAGTGTGTGTTTTTATTTTTGGCCTGAAAGGCTTGCTTGATCTTAGTCAAGAAAATATTTTCTAGCCCTGCTATAATGTAACAATCAAACATGTTTATGTCAATAAAACCCCTGTTTGTGTACAGAGCAAAGTGCAGAGTATTAGGGCTGTTCTGTGAAGTCTGGGCATGTGAATTACTGTTCTTATGAACATTATTGATAAGAGACAACACCTAACATATTTGCATGTTTCTCCCCTAGAGAGAAAAACAGTGCCTTCATTTTCTCAGTCTTCAGTGCCTTCCTTACCAGCTTCCCTTGCAGCTGTGGAGAGCAAACTTTCAGTCCCTCAGAGCCCTCCGTCCAGTCCGGTTAAATCCTCTCTGGAGGTTCGGCTGTATCCACAGCCTTATTTCCAGGCCAGAACACAGCACCAAGCACAGCAGCTGAAAAAAATTGAGCCACCTCTTCAGTCACCAATTAAGCTAAAGCCAAAGGTTGTAAGTACTGCTCTTGTGAGATTCATTTACTGATGTTGCCGTTTACTTGTGGCAGAAGCAGTGAAAGTCACATGGTTACACAGTGCACACACACCGTGGAGACACAGTAGGGAGACACTTAAGGTGTTTGCATTGAAAGTATGCAAGAGGAGAATGTATGTGCATAACTACAACTTTGTGCTGTTCTGGTTTAGAATATAACAATCAAGAGCCTTTCTGGGCAATGTTTGTCATTGATTAGTTGTTTGCTGTCTTGGGTCTTGTATGATTTTTAATGTGTCAAGCTTCTGGTGGGGACAAAGGAGAGCATGCTGAAGCTCACGTAATGTAATGAACTTTCAGTTCATTTTACCAGATTGTTTTCTGACTGCTATGCTTTCCTGTTGCCAGGAAGATGAAGCACCGCCCAGACCTCCTCTCCCTCAGTTGTACAGTCCTGATGATCAACCACCAGCTGTTCCACCCCTCCCAAGGGAAGCCACTGTCAACCGTGGAGACACAGTAGGGAGACACTTAAGGTGTTTGCATTGAAAGTATGCAAGAGGAGAATGTATGTGCATAACTACAACTTTGTGCTGTTCTGGTTTAGAATATAACAATGAAGAGCCTTTCTGGGCAATGTTTGTCATTGATTAGTTGTTTGCTGTCTTGGGTCTTGTATGATTTTTAATGTGTCAAGCTTCTGGTGGGGACAAAGGAGAGCATGCTGAAGCTCACGTAATGTAATGAACTTTCAGTTCATTTTACCAGATTGTTTTCTGACTGTTTGCTGTGCTTTCCTGTTGCCAGGAAGATGAAGCACCGCCCAGACCTCCTCTCCCTCAGTTGTACAGTCCTGATGATCAACCACCAGCTGTTCCACCCCTCCCAAGGGAAGCCACTGTCATCAGACACACATCAGTGCGGGGCCTGAAACGTCAATCAGATGAAAGAAAGAGAGACAGAGAACTCGGACAGTATGTAAATGGAGATTACAGGGTGAGCAACTCATACACCTGCACTTTAAAGATATGTGAACCAATCATGAAAGATATTATCTGTACAATGTATGGACCTCCTGATCTTGCAATAAGGAGAGATACTGGCAGAGAGATGGCAATGGCAGGGAGAGTTCAATACTGTATAATAATGTCAGAGAGAGCTTTAGTAATCAGAAACAAAGCTTTAGGATTTGTTTTAAGATCAAGACTTGCTGTCTGTGATTTCATTTGAACTGATGAGTATTTTCCTGCGTAGGTGGAGCTGCGTTCATACATGAGTGAGCCAGAACTAGCAATGATAGGTGGTGACCTCAGCCAACCTTCCAGTGGTATAATAAGCTCTGACAGTGGCTACCAGACATTACCCACCCGAGGTAACCCAGGAATTTATGTAGTTGATTTTTAACAGTAATGTTTGTGTAGAAGATTGTCTCTCCTAACATTTTATGGAGATGGTTTTAATCATGAGAAAATGCAGTGAAAATGTCTAGAGATTTTGTGCATTTTGATGGTGCTGTTACTAACACCCAGCTTTTCACAAAGCAACTTAATATATAATGCTTTTTTAAAAAGCATAACAAAGAATGAAATTAGCTGCTAGAATGTCTCCTATATTCAGGCATTTTTCTTAATAATTTCTGTGTGATCTTTCACAAACTCAGGTGTTTTTTAAACACCTCTATTGCCATTGAAATAGAAGCGATGAAGAGTAAGAATATAAACCCCCCAGACACAACATGAGACTTGACATTCCATCCCCACTGTGCTACTGTAACTGTTTCACAGATGAGGGTAGAGAAAATATTTGGGGAAGAGCAATTAATTTCTGAGCCATTCTCTTCTTATTTCTTTCCTTTCTAACAGTGAATGTTAAGGTTTGATTTTCTTCATAGATGTGATTATTTGTACAGTTTATCTACTGTTGTACAGCTGAGTTCACCCTTTACCTCATTTAATGTTAGATTCTAAATTATTGTAGATCTTTCTGAATTTTGATCAATAGTGACCTGAAACACACTACTTTTGGCTCAAATGAAATTTCATGTCTCTCATGGTCTTCTGAACTACAAAATCTGAAACATGAACTAAAATAGTAGCCAGAGTATCATAGAAGAAGCATGATAATTAAAAAATATCTGACACTTGTCTTAATTCTGTCTGTCATTTGGTTTAAAAACATCCTCTTTTTCTGTATAAAGGTTTATCTGGATCAACTTCTAGATTACACCAATCATCTACCATTTTGTCATATGCAACACTTCGAAGGGATAGGTCCAAGGTAAGTTTTAAATTAACATCTGAGGGCAAATGTCTGAACTGTTCAAAATAGTTAAGCCCAGAATATGTTTTGCATAGGAGTTAGTGGGATTGTAGTACCATGGGAGAGGAGCCAGCACTTGTGATCTAATAAAATCTCCAGTTTTTCCTTTTCTTAAATTAATCATGAACCAGACTGATGACTTACTGCATTTGAAACAGATCTATAAAACAAGGTTTGGAACTAAAAATCATCAGTACTAATAGAAAATATAGAGTTGAAATATGCAAATTAATGCAAAAATAATAGAACAAGGTCATATTAGTTTAGTAATAAGGTAGGAGAAAGAGTTAAGTTTTTGTATGCTTCTTATAAAGTATTAATTATGACATGTTTTGTGTGCCTTGTGACTTGTACAGGAGAGACCAAAGAGTGCCTTGGAACGTTTATACTCTGGAGACCACCAAAGAGGCAAGATGAGTGCAGAGGAGCAACTCGAAAGAATGAAGCGACATCAGAAGGCGCTCGTTCGTGAACGCAAGAGAACTCTTAGCCAAGGAGAAAGGCAGTCTGTTTCATCTCGGTCTTTCATCAGGCCCATTTCTGCAGACATAGGCTCAGTATGTTAGATATGCCTTAAAAGGACTAAACTAAAAATATCTTCGGATTCTTTTTTTCCTAGCAGGCACTTTCACTTGAGCGTGTGTGATGCTTCTAGTCTAATTAAATTAAATTAGTGTTATACAGTATAAAATGAGTTCAGAGAGTGTGATTAACAGATGATCTTTTTTCACTAGTAGTTACAGTGTGTGTAGCAGGTTCAGCA